CTCCCCTGTGCCCATACAGGAGTTGGCCCCTGGTTTTTGGAGCTCACGCCTCCCGGTGTGATAGACAGGGTTGAGGGTGAGCCTTTCTCTGTAATGTTCTTCCTGCTCCATATTGCCTCCTCTGGCACCCATGGTATTGAAAAAGGAGGGTGCAGCCCAAAAAGATGTACGCCATGAGTGAAATTGGGTTCCTGTAGCTGACATGGGGTTTTTCGTGGGTGGACGGGTGAAGGGTCCCACCTAGGTGGGTTCTTGCCCCCCAGGGCACTGCTTGCACCCACACACCCATCCCTCCTCCAGGAGAAGGACCTCCGTGATGTCGGTGACTGGAGGAAGAACATCGAGGAGAAGTCTGGCATGGAGGGCAGGAAGAAGATGTTTGAGGCTGGCGAGTCCTAAGCACCTGCCTCTCCACACCCGTCCTCCACTCCCTCCTGTCCCCGCCGACCCCCTGGGTTCAAGGGCACCCACTGGGTGCTGTTTCTCTCTGGTTTTGCGAAGAGCTGCGTCCTGGCAGCAGCGGTGTAAATAAAGCTTTGGTGGGAGAGGCGGGTGTCGCCTGCCTGGGGTGCTGGACCCTGACCCGTGCCATGATGCCAGCAGGGTCTGCCCCCACTGTGGGGTTCCTGGTGGGGACGAGGAGGCTTTGGCGGGGGCTGTGCTGTGGGGATGGGGATATGGGACCTCTCTGTTGTTGGTTTCTGCCTGAAGCTGGGGAGGGTCATCCCCCTCATTGCGGGGAAGAAAGGGTGAGGCCATGCCACCATGCTCTCCTGGCATCCTCCCACCGGGCTGTACCACCAGCTCCTGGCCATGTCCTTCACTGGTGGCGAAGAGACAAAGAGATAAGACTCCAAGCCCCAGGAAGTGTTGCAGAACCTCCAGCCATGTGGGCAACAGCAGGAAGCCATGGGGAAGGAGCAGAGCTGGGAAGGGAGGTGAGGGGTGATGGCTGCAGGGCAGAAACAGACCCTTTGGCTCCAGTGGGCTTTGAGAGATGCAAAGTCAGGACAACATCGGCAGCTCCTGGGGCAGCACCCTGCTACCCAGTGCACTGTCAGGGTGCTGCGATTTAGAGATGCTGGCTGTCCCATAAGTGGCTTGGGCAGCTGGGGGAACGGTGGGTCACCACTCTCCCTGCCACGGTGGGGATGTCCATGTTCCCCACTTTCCCTTTGGGTTAGTCCAGCACTCTCCAATCTTGAGCTGCCAGCAGAGGTGAAACCTTAAAGTTGTGGTTTTAAAAAACAAAGAAAAAAAAAACCCCAGATTTGCCTTCCCTCTGCGCCTCTCCCATCCCCCCAAACCCTCAGCCCGTGAAGTTTCCGGCACAGCTCACTTCTGCCGAGCACAGGAAAAGTGAAACAGTGGCGACACGCTTGTGAACGGAGCTGTCTGTGCGGCCATCGTGCCAACCAGGGGAGAAGATGTCAGACTCAGAGGGGTGCCAGGAGGGTGCCGAAGGTGTCAACCAAGTGGGAGATGAATCACCTGGGGAGAGCGAGAGGTGAGGCCTGGGGACTGGGTACCCCAATGCCACGGTTGCCTTCCAGTCCCAGAAAACTGGGAGGCTGGGAAACTGGGAGGGGTGATGGTGGGAAAGGAGGATGCGTGGCCAAAAGGACAATGACCCATGAGGCTGAAATGGATCAGATGCTCTGGCAGGCTTTTGACAAGCTCCTCCAGCTAGGGAGAGACTTAGACTTCCTAAAGGTCTCATCGCCTTTGAACTTCAAAGCCTTTGGAAGGGGGTTTGATCAAGTGGGGAACCACAGCTCCAGCAGCAGGCAAGCTCAGCAAGGGGTCTGGCAAGCTGGACCTGCTCCGCAGTTGAAATCAGCCCCATCTTTAAGACCAGTGGGTGGAGATCAGCTGTCTCCTCTCCTTGCAACCATCGCTGTGCACATTTGATTTCTTGCTGAGTCCCCTATGCCTCTAACTGAATTAACTTGGCAACGTTTCAAGCTGGTTGCTGTAAGGTTATACATCTCCCCGTGCCTCTGCTCTGCTTTGTTTTTCTATCAGCAGAGATTGTAAAATTTGGGGTCTGTTTGCTCCAACATGGACAGCTTTCCATGGGGGTTAGAAGGAGACAGACCAGTAGCAGAGACAGCAGAGACCACATCTGTCTGTGGTGGTGGCAGACGGAGATAAGCTTGGCTGAGGTATGTCACTAAGAAGTACTCAGATTTGGACTGGATTCAGGCTGAGCATCCAGGCAGCTTGGGGGGTTGCCTGATTTTTCACCTCCAGCTTCAAAGCTTGCATTAGCATTTCTCCCCAAGGCTTTTGAAAGCCAGCACCCTTCATGTTGATAGGAAAAAAAAACCCCAACACCCTTGAGTGACAAGGAGAGGAGAAAGGTGTGTCATCTTCTGTCACTAATGGTTGTAGTTAGTGTTTTGGCTGACACCTGACAGCAATTAGCCTTGGCTGAAGACTTGACTGGAAGCTTCAAAAGGTGCTGGAAGGCTCTGTGCATGACTCTCTGCTGAAACAAAGAGGGTGCCTTGGCTGCTGGGGGAGTGCAGGAGTTTCTCAGTGTGGTCTATGGGATTCCCAGCATTGCTCCAGCCTGGCCGTGCCTCAGCCACAGGCTCAGCTCACCTTGGAGGAGCAAGGAGTGGATTCTGGGGGTGGCCCAAGGCAACTGAGCCTTCCCGCTCCCCTCTTGCTGCGGTGGCCATAGGTACATTGGCACAGCCAGGGTGGTGGGGGCTGCTGGTGAGGCTGGGTCAGCTTGTTCCATTCCCTCTTATCCGCTGGAGTTTCAGCTAAATAAGAGGCTGTGTGGAGAGATCTGTTCTGTACCACCTCAACACTTACAGCCTTTAGAAACATGTTTAAAAATTTTGTATATGAATACTGATGGCAGGGTGGCACAACCCTTCCTCCCTGGCTGCATTTTGGAATTTGAATGAAAAAAAATGATCAAAAAGAAGTAGTGGGCAAAAGTAACTTCCTTTTTGTTTTTAAAATATGGAGAATTACTTTCCCTCCCAGCTTGTGTAATAGTTTCATGTGCAGCACTAAATTTCTCCTCCTTTTACTTGCGCTATTTAAAACCTTGCTAGGCTTTGGTGATTTCCACTCCCAAAATGGAGGAAGGAAGCGTTTGCTTGCTGTTTGGGGCTACCTTTTCTCACCCTGTGGCTAGCTCAGCTCTCTGATCTCCTCTCCTTGAGGACAAAGCTCTTTTCAAGCTGACCTGTGTATGGATAGAGTCAGGACAGTGCTCCTAACATAGCTTAAGGCATGCTGGAGATGTGAGCAGTGAGTCTTGTGATGGAGCTGCCAGGAAAGGGAATCCCAAGGCTCCCTGGTGTAAAAGCACAGTGAGGAGATATGGGGAGGAAAAAGGTGCTGGGTTTACTTAAACAATGAACCTTATGTATTTAACTGTGCCCAGTGTATACAGAAGAGGAGCTTGCATTAGGAAATGCCCTAGAAATCCTAATTTGGACAGAGCTTACTCTGTTCCTCCATACAAATGGGGACATGCTGGCAAAGTCTTGCTGATGCCAGTGTAACACCACCCAAACCACACTGGTGTTATGCTCTCTTCCATAAACTGAAATTGATATATAGGAAACCACCGTGGCGTAAGCCTGATGTGAAGCCTACCCAAAAGAAGTGAGAAGCTGGGGTGGGCTCTGGGGAGGTGGCTGCTTGGGTTGTCCTGTCCTGATGGGACAACACGGTGCAGGATGAGGGAGCCAACCCTCCTGCCTTGATGGTGGGAGGCTGTGGGAGAAGCCTGTCTTACACAAGGGCTGGATAATCCAATGTGTATTGGGTCTGTCATTCAGAGCACTCTCCATAGAGCTCTGGAGGCTTCAGGCAACCCCTGACCTTAGTTGCTCTGCCCACGGCTGTGCACATCCCTATGGCTTGGGTTGTGCTCTGCAGGATATTTGCACCTGAGTGGAAGTATGGCTCACAAGGCAGGTTTCTCTTGCCTACAGGGTCTGAGATGAGAGATCGGTTTGTCCCAAATTCCCCCATCTCCTTCCTTCTGGGGCTTCCCACCCCATGAGCTGCAGGGAGCTCTTGGCAGCCCATGTATGGTCACCTCCTGGGGAGAGGCTCGGCTGTGCTAGCAAGCCCCAGGCTTTTCTTTGTCATGTGTATCCCCAGCTGTCTTGAATTCCCCAGATCCTTAGAGGAGTCTCGAGGGCCCTTGCTAGGATGACTGCTGTTGCTAAGTATACCCGTGGTTGGAAGGAGGTTGTCTGGGAAAACTGATACATGGAGAGACTTTGGACCCCCTCGGCACACCAGATTCCTTGGGGGAGGGAGGGATGGAGGGATGGCTGATCCCTGTTCAGCAGTAACTGGTTACAGTTTGACCCAGCTGGGCTCATTAAAGTGGAAAAATAGTAGGGAAATGAACAGGGGAGGACCAGATGGATAATTTAATGAAGCTGGGCAATACTTTAGCATTTCCAAATTGGATGTAGGTGCCCTGGCAGCGGCATTAGGGATAAGGAACTATATCTAATTATAGGGAGGTATCAGGTGCCTTCACTGCCCCTTTCTCCTTGCAAAAAAAAAAAAAAAAAAAAAAAAAAAAAAAAAAAAAAAAAAAAAAAGCCTGGCTTACCTTGCCTTGCCTCTAAGCTTAATTTGCAATTGATTTGCAATGTAAAGCTACCGGTTTGGACTTGTGTGTCAAAGTAGGGGATTGCCCAGCAGCCTTTATTTGAATTTTACTTCTTTTAAATTACAGAAGAGGCTCTGCTGGCTGTTTTAAAATTCGTGAGGTAAAGCCTGGCTCTGAAGCCTGTGGGAATCCCTTTGCCCCTGGATTTTGGAGAGACCTGGCTGTGAGGAAGGCTGGGCTGGCCGTCCCAGGGACCATCCTGGGGGCTGCTAAGAGGAGGTTTTGTCAGACCAGCATTGCTGGAGTGGGGTGAAAAAGTCCTTTTGCTGGCTGAGGTGGTGCTGGGGCTCCTGCTCCTCTGGAGGAAGGGGGGCAGAGGCACAAGCCCAGCCCGCACCCTTGGGGCACACAACCCCTCTGGTTGGGGGGGGGCGGGGAGCTATCTCCTGGCTGCACCCCACGAGGGGGCGAGCTCTGCTTGGCCTGATTTGTCTGACAACACCAATAAATCTGCAGCAACGAGGAAAGCAGAGATGTCCAGGCAGAGTTTTGAGGTATGGCAGGGCTTTACCACTTGCATGGAGCGGGTGGGCATCCCCCAGGGTGGAAATGTCCCCAAGGGAGAGCTGCTGCCAGGGGATATGATTTCACATAGGTGGACAGGGTGGTGTCCTGGCCTTGGGATGGAGAGTAGGGACAGCTCAGGGTCTATTCGCAGCTGTGCTGCCCATGGGGGTTAACACTCATGGGCTTTCCCAGGTTTGCTGCAGCTGAAACAGGATGAGTGCTGCTCCATGGGCACGGCTGAGTGAAGCCTAGAGATGTGCAAGGTGTGTTGGGGGAGGAAAGAGGGAGTTTTTTCCACCCTCCTGGTCTGGGCATCCTCCCTGGACAGCTGTACAGCGTGCTGCTTCAGGGTGTTTCAGGCCTTTCCCAAAATCTGAAAGCTCTTTTTCTAGCAGTATCTGGAAAGGTAGGAGGTATCACAGCTGGCTCCATGGCAGTGAAGTGGTTAACCTTGGCATGCCCTGGGGATACTGGGCCCCTCTGCTCTGACCTCTCTAACCCAGCCCTAGCCGATGCTATGCCTGCATCCCCCCTTCACATCCATCACCCCTGTGACTGTGGGGGTCTGTGTGGCAGCTGAGCGGGCTCCTTGCTGCCTCGGTGCTCTCTCCAGAGCTGGGCTTACTCCCAGCCAGGCACTCATCCAGCCTGGCTGCTGCCTCTGCTGGGACACTGACTTGCATCTAGGCAGACCACCTGGCTGGGAGGTTCTCTGAGGCCTTGTTGGTGCTGTGTTTTTGTTGGGAACAGCTTTTTCTTTGCGGGGAGTGAGAGTCCTGGCCCTAAGAAAGTTGTTGCCCAGGCTCCAGGGGGGATTGGTGGCTGCCAGGCTCCTGGGGCTGTAATCTGCCTCTGACTGACAGTGCAAACCTGCTGTGGTCCTCAGGGGCTCAGAGGAAACACCGCAAGGATTTGCTGCTCTTACTTCATCCTCCACATGCAGCCCAGCTACGCAAACCTGTCTGGGAAAGACAGTGCCCTCTCACCCAGCACAGAGGAAGGAGAGCTCTGCTCTGCCCAAGGCAACATGCAGCTTGTGCAGGAGCTTTGACCTCCGGTAGTTGCAGTTCCTGTTCCCTTAACATGAGTCCAACAAGCTCCTCAACAGACTGAGTCTTTGGGCTCGCTGAGGAGGTGCTTTGGCATTCTTTGAAGCCAAATGCATGAGGAATGGCTTCTCGTGGCATGGCTCTGTTCTCCTCAAGCCCTTTGTAAGGAGAAACCTTGAGGATGTACCTCCTCAATTACCTTCCTTCAATTAAAGGAAGACAGGTGTATGTGTATGATAGGGACTCAGGGGCCTCTTTACCCAGGTTTTGCTCTGGATCATGGTCATC